GGAGGAGGGCGAGCAGAAGGGCCAGAAGCCTCTTGGATGCCTCTCGGAGTCTCGGAGTCTCTTGGGATACGTACGTATCTCTTGGGCGTTTCTTGGAGGCCTTTTGGGACGTCTTGGGAGTCTCTTGGTGGTCCCGGGGGGCTCTTGGGGCATCTTGGGTGCCTCGGGGGGTCTCTTGGGGCCGCTTGGGGTCCTCTTGGGGGTCTCTTGGAGGCCTCTTGGGGTTTCTTGGGCGCCTGTTGGGGCTTTCTTGGGGGCCTTGGAGGCCCTCGTGGGACCATCTTGGAGGATATCTATCAAAGAATGGGGGGGTCCGCAAGTACCCTCGCCCCTCTGGAGCTCTCAAAATCGCCTCTTGGGGTCCTGTTGGGGCGCTCTTGGGGCGCTCTTGGACGCTCTCGGGTCCATCTTGGGGCCATCTTGGACCCCTCTTGGGGCTCTCTTGGGCCCCCTGGGGCCATCTTACGTACGTACGGCTTCGGAAGGTCATCGGACGCGAACAATCGAAAGGGCTACGTAGAATCATTGATTTACCTTACCAGGTGTTTGAGGGATTTGGGCGTCTTGGGCGCGTCCAAGGGAGGCCCCAAGCCCACCTGGAATCGTCTTGGAGCGGTCTGGAGCATCTTGAAAGCCATCTTGAGCCATCTTGGATTAATAACTTCGGGCCATCTTGGAGGCCATCTTGGGCTCTCCAGGGCTCTCCAGGACCCTCTTGGAGCCGTTTTGGGCCATCTCCAATCGGTCGCAAATCTCCCCGTCCAGGTCCAGGGGGATGGGGGTACGTACGTAGGGGGAGGGGTGCGTGCGTAAACCCCTCACCGAAAGGGAAGAAGAGGGTTGGAAGAGAAAGCCCCCTACGTAGATCACCTCGGGCAGGAGCGCTTAGCGTGTATATGAGCGCTTCGCGTCTTGGAGCGCTTAGCGTCTCGGAGCGCTTAGCGTGTATGTGGTTTGGCTCTTCCACCCGACCCTACTTAGCGTGTACGCCCCTGCGCTGCTTAGCGTGTAAACGCCTTCGGTTTCGCAAGGCCCGAAACCACAGACACGCTATATATCGGACCTTGACCGTAGAGGAAAAAGAACTATGCACATACACCGATTCTGGCCAGACCCATCCTGAGCCCAGGATTGGTGCATACGCCCTCCTACCTTGGCCAGGAAGGCATATGCACCGATCCTGGGTCAAGGATGGGCCTTGCCAGGATCGGTGCATGTGCATAATTCTCTTCGCCCGAGAAGGAGCCCCAAAACAAGGAACCGGGCCCCTTCCTGCTCCACGAGCTTCGGGGATGGACAAGCCGACAGGCCCTCAAGTGGGCCCTGGAAACGACAGGGCCGCTTTTGTTACCGGTTCCGTTTTGCCGTTTTTGTTGCCGGTTCCGACGCCGTTTTTGTTCCCGGTTCCGCCTCCGTTTTTTGACCAATTCCGGCTCCGGTTCCAATCCTGGAGCCGCTTTTTTTGCCGTTTCCGTTTTCAAGGGGCATTTTTGGGAAAACTGTGAAAAAACGGCCCTGCCGTTTCCGGGGCACAAAGGACAGACCCCCCTTCAGTAAAACGTGGCTTGGTGAAAACGACCTGAGAACCAAACCTGGCGGGCGCAAGCCTGGAAAATAACGGCCACGGCGCCATCTTCAGAACCGAAAACGGACAATTCACTAATCGACGTGTCACTGTTGGGGGTTCTGTCCACCCCAGAGAGTTAAGCTTCGATTGCCCATAGAAGACCGAAGAACAACCGAAGACACAAGGCGAAAACCATGAGGGAGCACCGAGCCCCTCCCCAACGAACAGGGGTTCCTTCTTCAGAGGCCCGGCTGTACGCTGCAGGAGCGGGAGCCGAGCGAGGGCCGAAAAGACGAACGAGCGAGGGTCCGAGAAGAAACGGCGGCGGGCCCGAGGGCGAGGAACCGCGAGGACGAGGTTGGGGAGGACGACGACGGCGCAGGGCACGACGACGGCAACGAGGCGGACAGGATGAGAACGGCGAAAACAAAGACGACGACGGGTCGGTCATTTGTCGCCGAGGAGGACGGCGAGGGCAGCGACGATGTGGGCGGCGAGCTCATGTAAAAAGGAAGGGCACCTCATCGGCCAACAGGGATTCCAGGCAGGCGACTGGAAGGGCGGGCTGGAGCGCTGCTCCAACGGGCGCACGAAAAGCAATTGCTCCTGCAGACCTTGCGCAACACCGCCACCATTGCTACAAAACGTTGACCTCGGCTTGTTTCCACTCGCGTGAGGCCCATCGACTAGTCCAGGAAACTCAAGGTGGAGGGGGGGATGGAGAGGAAAATTATAGAAACCGCGGGGTCATACCAAACAAAGAAGGAGGATTGGGGAGCATGAGGGCGCCTACATTTCTGGAATTCTACAGTGGCCTCGCGGGCGGGCCCCGAAGGGGCGCGAGATCCTGGCAGAAACGAGCGCAGCGGCAGCCACCGACACGACGGCGACGACGAACAGCGACGGCGAGGACGACTGACGACGACGTCGGCGGCAAGAGCAGCCGCTCGATCTTTGGACGCCCAAAATGGGTACGGAAAAACCGGGTACAATACAATACAATACCGACAGCGGCGGCTGTCGGGCACGCGGCTCTTAGGTTTCAGGGAACAACGTCCGCGGCGGCGCGGACAGAGAGTCCTGTTCAAAATGGTCAGGACTTGCTGTTGGGCACTGTGCACATTATCTGCACCGATGTCGAGTGTCCCGACGCTCGGCGCAGGCCTCTTCAGTCCCGCAAACAGCAGACGCCGCACCGTCGTTCAAGGTCTGTCACTCCATCTGGAACGGCTCGGCTCCGGCGGCGTGCAGGCAGCTTGCGAGCACGGCGGCGACGGACGGCGACGGCGGGAGCAGCCGCAGTCTTGTCAAGAAGGGCCGAACCCCTCCCGAGCGACCATCGTGAGCGGTATCGATCGACGAGCTCAGAGGCTGCCTTAGATCGAACATCTCACCGCACATTGGGCCTTACAAAGGCGCGATCGCATCAGAGACGAACGGGCTCTGCAAGTTCACCACGGTCCTTCCGAGGACCAAATTTGGTGCCAAGGGAACAGCCAGGTCTCCCCGACACGCGCCGGGACTCGCACGGCCAAACTCGCACGAACCAGAATTCGCACGGACGAAACCTGCACGAGCGCAACTCGCACGAAGCGGAACTTGCACGCGGCTACCTTTCTCCACAAGCCCTTCCAGTCAATGAGGTACCTGCTATGAATACACCTTGCGAACCGAAAAGGGCAGCGGCACAAGAAAGAGGAGGAAGGACAGGGTATCACTCACAGATGCCGCACCGTTCAAGACCTGGCCCTCCGTCTGGGCAAGCTCCGATCTAGCGGCGTGCGGGCAACTTGCGAACACGCGCTGCTCGGCCGCCCCGACGATGACGACGACGACGACGACGGCGACGACGGCGACGACGACGAGGCCGACGACGACGACGACGACGACGAGCCGCACTGGTGCGCCGTGGAACTGCCTGCCCGCCCTCGCTGGTCGGCGGCGGAGCACAGGATTTACAGTCAATCCGCATAGTGAGGACGCACGATCAGGATGCAAGGGCCTTGGAAGGCCATGTCGACACTTTGCGAGCGGGGCGCGGCCGTCGAAAGTGGTTGAGGATGGACCGAGAATGGCCGAAGAGGCAAGGATGCAGGGGCACCTTTGGAAAGTTGCTCATCCTTGCTATGCGGGTTGACGGTCGGCGGCTGAGCGCAGGGCTTAGGCCGACGGGGCCAGCGCGCGCGCGCCGTGCGAGTGCTGCTTCGAGGGATTCGAAGCCTGGCGCATCGAGGTTGCCGCGCCTCGCCGCTCAGCGTGGCCCTTCGCCTGGTGCTCGAGGCGGATGACGCTCGCGCACCTCATCCAGAGCCTGACGGAGGAGGCGAGCGAAGAGGCCGTGAACATCCTCGTGATGTACCTTCTCGTGGTGGACCTGTGGGTCGTCCCGGTCCTTCTGGCGGCAATGACGACGGTCAAGGGCCAGGAGGTGACGCAGGACATGCGCAGGGGCCGCGCAAACGTTCCTGCTGGTCAAGCTGCCCGTGGTCGAGGCCCACACTTTTCCGTTTGAGCAGGGACCGACCATCCCGCCATTCCTATAGGCCTGCCACGACATGTTCTCAGAAGCAATGATTGTTCTGACAACAAGACGAGGTTCTTACAACATCAAGCGGATGTGTTGCAACAAGACAGTCTCAGCCAGAAATGTTCTGACAACACCTCGCACAGACCACACACTGCTCTTGGAACCTTCTTTGCTGGGCCTGTAGGCAAGCCAGGGCGCTTCGCCACTGCTCGAGTCGAGGCCCAAGCTCTCCGCTGGGCCAGGGCAAGAGCAAGGACAAGCGCACGGGCCCAGGCAAGGGTGCTCCAGGCCGCCGACCCTGGGCACCCTGCCGGAGGAGCTCTCCTGGTCTCTGGCAGCTCGTCCTGCGGCCGCTGCTGCTACTCCTCTGGATCTGCTGCTGTAGCCGCAGCAGCCGCAGCGGCTGCCGCTGCGGCCGCCGCGTGCGTGAGAACATGAAACAGATCAGGGGGGGAATCGCAGAAGGAATCAGAAGCGGAGTCCGCGCTTGGGGATGCACCATTCGACCAAGGGCTGTGTCAAGGCACCCCTGCAACAACAGAAAGATGAGAAGGAGGAGGAGGAGGAGGAGGAGGAGGAGGAGGAGGAGTTCTGGCGGGAGGAGGCAGAAGAAGAGGATGAGGAGGATGAGGCGGAGGGGACAGGCGTGGAGGAATATGAGAATTGCGATAAGCAGCGAGGAGGAGAAGGAGAACCTCCCGAGAAGGCGAGGCAGGGGAGGAGAAGGACCTGTGGACGGAGGAGCATACATGATGCTGCTGGCGACAACGATATATGGTAGAGACAAGGAGAGAGGCGGGGGGAGGAGGGGGGGAGGGGGGGAGGGGGAGGGGGAGGAGGAGGAGGAGGAGGAGGAGGAGGAGGAGGAGGAGGAGGAGGAGGAGGGGGGGGGGGGGCGGCGCGGGCCTGGCTTCGGCCTCGGACGAGCTGCTCTCGGCGAGCACCACGGCCGCGGCGCCACCCGGGCCGCCGCGCCCCCAGGGCCGCTGCCACCCCTCGGGCGCACGCGGGCACGAGCCCGCCGCTCGCCCTCGGCGCTCCTCCTCCTCCTCCTCCTCCTCCTTCTTCTTATTAGTATTATTATTAATATTCCCTTCTCCTCCTCCTCCCTCATCCTCCTCCTCCCCTCCTCCTCCTCCTCCTCCTCCTCCTCCTCCTCCTCCTCCCCCTCCCCCTCCTCCTCCTCCTCCTCCTCCCCTCCTCCTCCTCCTCCTCCTCCTCCTCCTCCTCCTCTCCTTCTCCTCTTCCTCCTTGGGCGCGAATTATAACGCGGGTGCGATATATATATATATATATATATATATTCATACGCACACACACAAGGTGGGGGGGGGCGCCGCAAGGGCCGCAGAGAAGAGTCCCTTCGGGGCCCCAAATGGGCACCTTTCTCCCGCCCCCATTCCCAGACCCCCGACGTCATGATGTTCTCACAACGTCGACCCCCAGAGGTCGCGACCCATTCCCCCAGAACGCTTTTCATCCCGGGTCGTTGTTTGACGACCCCGAGGCCCGGCGAGGGCCCCCAGATGCCGAACATAGAGCAACACCACCTGCCGTCTCACGACTCCTTCACGACGCGAGGGGTCTGGGTGTATCGCTCCCCCATTTCCTTCGCGCCCGGTCCTCGGCACTCGTCCTCCCTCCCAGCTCGCAGCGCACCGCGGCGCCCGAGGCCCCTTCCTTCCCAGGGGGAGCCCGCGGGGGCCTCTGGGACGGGGGCACGCGGCCCCCGTCTCGGAGGGGGGGGGGGGGGGGGGGAAGGGAAGCGGGGAAGCGGCGACGCCGTGAGGGGCGGTGTTCCAGGAACGAGAGGCTGCGACACCAGCACCACCAGGGCGAGGAGGTGCGAGGAGCCAGGGGGGTCTCCCTGGTGGTGAGGCCCCCCCCTTCTCGCTCGAGGCACCTCCAGCCTCCGGCCCGGGGAGACGTCGTGGACCTCCTCGCTGGAGGTGGCTCCCGCTGGTGGCGTTGGCATCGCATCTCCCCCCTCCGACGCCTTGTGGGGGGGGGGGAACGGGCTCAGAGGGCGAAGCAGCAAGCTGGAATCGGCGATGCGTCGCCAGGTTCATGGGCGGGGTGGGGCTATCGGGCCCCCATCGGCGATCAGTGTGCGATTGGAGGTCGATGCGTCCCCCCTTGAGCCTTCGCCCCTTGAGCCTACGCCACTTGACGTTGCCCCAGCGACCCCCCCTGGCTAAGGGACCGCACACCGTGCGGTGACCTCGAAATCCCAAGAGACCTCGCCGAACGGTCCGTCACCGCACGGTTGTGGGCCCTGGGAGGCCCCGGTCGCTCGAGACATCCCCAGGGAACGACCCCCCGAGTCCCAGAACCAGGCGGTCACCTGAAAGCCCCACCGACGGATCACACCTGGCCATCGCTCGAACGTCCACTCTCCGTGCATTGCTCGATCTCGCGCGTGACTTAGCATCCCCCGGACGTGCGCATTCTTCCAGGCCGCGACCATCGAGGATCATCCTCGGTCATCCAGCTAAGAATACACGCACGAAATCAAAAGATGCACGGAGAGTGGACGTCCGAGCGATGGCCCGGTGTGGTCCTGGCCTCTGGGGCTTGGACGCCCGACTTGGGTACGGACAAGATTGGTGCAATGCCCAACAACAAGATCCCGAACCAGCAGCAGCCGCTGTTTGGCAGGCGGCCTTCTGCTTCACACGGGCACGGTCCGCGGCGATGCCGACGGCAGGCCCAGCTCCAACGTGGACAAGACCCGCGGTGAGTCTTCGTACCCATCCTTTCCGTGCCCATTCCGATCGTCCCCATAGGGGGGGCCTCTGGGGGCCCGCGTGGACGACCCGCCGCTGCGGCAAAAGCCGGCGAGCCGCAGGGACGGCCTGCAGCGGGCCGCGTGTGGATGGTCTGCAGCGGTCGAGGGGTCTGCGGCTCGGGCCTCGTCCTCGAACCTCGATGCCCTGCTCTAGAAGCCTCCTCGATGGGGCCCAACTAGATGGGGTCGCAGGATCGCGCCGCATCGCCAATGCATTGCCGACACATCGGCGATGCATCGGCGATGCGCCGGCGACGTCGGCGACGCATCGGCGACGCCTGCGTGGGGAAAATCCAGCTCCGCATCGAGCCGACCCCATCTGCTTGGACCCCATCTAGGAGGCCTAGATCCTACCTCTCGAGTCGAGGATCGACTGCAGAATTGATGAACCAGAGTTGATTTGCTCGCCGAATCTACAAACCAAAAATGCGTGGGATGCTCGCGGATCTACTGCCGTTCTGCGCCCCTATTCTCTACGGATTCGGTGCGAAAACCACTTCTGCGGTGAATTCATACCGTAGTCGCTGCTCCCCTGGGGCGGCTGGCAGTCGCAGTGCCGAGGCCCAAGGTCCCCAGGGAGCCCGCCGCGAGCGCCCACAGGTCTCGGCCGTGGTGTCTGGGCCGTGGGGCCGCTCGCCAAGGCACAGGCACAGCGAGCGAGCGAGCCACCAAGGCGGAAAGCCCTCCGAACCCATCTGAGGTTAGGCCGGCGAGGCCTCTCTCTCTATATATATGTGTCTCTCTCTATACATATATATATATATATATACATGGATAAATTTGTACACGTATGCAAGTAAACATTTATATCTGCACGCCACCGATCTCGCAACGGTCTCTGCTGCATCTATCGAGGCCGGCGCAATCGGCTTTGCGAGCGCAAAGCAGGCATCGGTTAAAGTCTGACTAACTATCTGATTTTTCTCTCTCTCTCTCTCTCTATATATATATATATATCTATACATGTATAAAAACAACTGCATTGATAATAAGTACGTGTACACATACAAAACTCATCCCGCAATATGGGGGGCCTGGTGTTGTGGGGGGGGGGGCTGAGTCGCGAGCGCCCCAGGAGGGCCGAAGACGTCCTCGGTGCCCCAAGAGGGCACCCAGATGGGCCAAGAGGGCTCCAAGAGGCCTGTCAGACGGTCCGCGAGGGCCCCGAGTCGCCGAGCGATGGGTCCAGGACGCTCCAGGCTGCCTCCAGACGGCCCAAGGAGCCTCGAAGACGCCCCCTCGCCATCGCTCGGACGTCCATTCCCTGTGTTGTTGTTGGTTTCGTGCGTGGTTTTTTTCGCCAAATGATCAAGCATGCTCCTCGATGGTCCTCGCCGAAGGAAATATGCTCACGTCCGAGCGATGCCAGGCCCCAAGAGGCCTCCAAGAGCCTTCCTCGCAGAGCTCAACGAGGTAAAAATCGCCCCCACCCCCAATGGAAAACGCACAAGTTTAGCAAGTGCGACTTTCCGCCCTTCACGGCGTCCAAGACGGCCCAAGACCCAAGAGCACCCCAAGATTGCCGAAGAGGTCCCCAAGAGAACCTAGAGACGCTCCAAAGAGGGCCTCACGGCGGCCCAAGAAGCACCCCAGACGGCCCCCAACGTGCCCCCCGAGGGCTCCCAGGGGGTCGTATAGGGAAACTCGAATTGAGATGTCGAGCCCTCCGTCCCAAGGGGGCCCCCGAGAGGCCCCAAGAGGCCCTCAAGAGGCCCCGAAGAGGCCTCCAAAGGCCCCGAGACGGTCTCCAAGAGGCCTCCTGACAGGCCCCAATAGCTCTGACCACGAAGCTCCCAAACGGCTGCGCGGCATAGCTGCACCAACCCTATCATATATACCGAACCGAGGAACCAATCAGTACGGTGACGGTCAGAAACAAAATGCACACACGTATGTGTATATATATATATATATACACATAAGTACACCCCGCAGATGCGGATAAGAGTGAGAGGGCGGTGGGGACGTCGGCAGTCTGCGAGACTCTTGCGAAACCCGCCGCAGGCGCCAACGTTTCACAAATTATACAACGATGCCGCCGCAGGCACCGATTTCTTCTTCAAACCAATGTTGATCGGTCGCGGGTGGGTCGCGGGTGGGTCGCGGGGTGGGTCGCGGGGTGGGTCGCGGGTGGGTCGCAAATGGGTCGCGGGTGAGTCGCGGGTGGGTCGCGGGTGGGTCGCAAATGGATCGCGGGTGGGTCGCGGGGTGGGTCGCGGGTGGGTCGCGGGTGGGTTCGCGGGTTTGGTCGCGGGATGGGTCGCGGGGTGGGTCCCGGGGTGGGTCGCGGGGTGGGTCGCGGGTGGGTCGCGGGGGGGACGACGATAACAAACAACAACAACAACAACAACAACAACAACAACCACAACAACAACAACAACAACAACCACACCAACACCACCAACAACAACAACAACACCAACACCAACAACAACAACAGCAGCAACAACATCATCACCAACAACAGCAACAACAACAGCAACAACAACAACACCACCACCAACAACAACAACAAACACCAACAACAACAATAACACCAACACCACCTAAAACACCAACACCACCAACAACAACAACAACAACGCAACAGGCATACTCCTCACCACGGGCTCTCACTTCGGCCACGCACCCAGGGACAATGAATGGCCGCTCCCCCCCTTCACTCTGACATATATATATACACACATAGACATATATACACGTATACATATTTGCATTGCATAAGTGTATATGTGTATGTACACATCCATACATCCAGACAGGCATGCATGCATGTATGCAAGGGTAACTACATGTATGCAATCATGCATATATGACACATTTCATATATTACACACTTATATACATACTCAAATACTTGACGTAAGCGTAAACACGTGCATCCACGCATACACATACCACAACATTTACACGCACGCATACGTATGTGTTAACGTGTACACCATGCATGCACATACGCATCTACATATGCATATGCACAAGCATAGGCCTACGCATGTACACTTGCATACGCATCTACATACATGCATCTACACACATTTACATACGCAGATGCGTCGTGATTATGTCTAATCATGTGCACATGCGCTCACATACATCGATCCATATACACATACCGTTATCAACGCATCCATATCCGTATGCGTGTACATGTTCACATACAAACGTATACCTATATACAGACGTATACTTATACGTATACATGTG